GTGTGTGTGTGTGTGTGTGTGTGTGTGTGTGTGTGTGTGTGTGTGTGATAGGGGTGGGAAGGGGTTGGGATGCCAAACTGGTGACTCCACTTCTCATGCCATTAACAGAATAGGTCTACATTGATTACAATTCAAGATTCCAAATACATTTCAAATGAAGAAAGAGTTTCACTGATTAAAGAAGAGGAGGTTGGGGTAGGGAGGAGAACTGAGCCACTTATGTACAGTTGCTCTCACATAATGTGTTAAGAAATTTGGTTCTTATCTCTTTGCAAATGAGGAATTTCTGAAGGATTTTAAGCCCGGAAGGGTCCTCATTAGATTGCTTTATAGCAAAATAACTGGCTGATTGAAGAGAGGCAGAGTGGAGGCTAGCAGACCTCCTTGAGGGCTTGTTCTATCAAATATTTATCATTGAGCATGCAGCAGGGGCTGGGTAGACCTGTGAAGGCAGAGAACTTGTTTGTCTCAGTCACTGCTGGGTCTTCAGTACCTGCCACAGGATTGGATGCTCAGGAGGTGTTCATTAAGCATTTGTTAATAGGGTGGATGGAACACACATCTGTGGTATGTTAGGTACTGTTCTAAGTAAGCACTTAACATATATTATCTTCTTTGTTTCTGCCAGTATTTTATGAATTAGAAAGCTGAGACTTAGGTGTTTATTTTGCTCAAGGCCAAAAAGTCTGTGTGACAGAGTGGTAGAGCTGGGGTTTAAGTTTTTATTCTTTTCATCCCAGTGGGATGGTTAAGAGCACTGGCTGAAGAGTCTGACTGACCTGGGTTCAAATCACAGGTCCACCACTCCTCAGCCGAGTGACATTTAAAAATTTATTTAAACCTCTAGCTTAATGTCTTCATGGGGTTGTTGGGAAGTTTAAATGAGAGAAGGCCTGTGTGGCACTGAGCACCGTGCCCGGTGCATAATAAGCCCTCAAATATTAGTGACTGTTAGTGTTATTATGCTGTGCGATCAATACCAAGGGTGCGGGACTTCCCTGGTGGCGCAGTGGTTAAGAATCCGCCTGCCAGTGTAGAGGACACAGGTTCGAGCCCTGGTCCGGGGAGATTCCACATGCCACGGAGCAACTAAGCCTGTGTGCCACAACTACTGAGCCTGAGCTCTAGAGCCCACGAGCCACAACTACTGAGCCCACGCGCCACCGCTACTGAAGCCTGTGTGCCTAGAGCCTGTGCTCCGCAACAAGAGAAGCCACCACAATGAAGAGTAGCCCTCGCTCACCGCAACTAGAGAAAGCCTGTGCACAGCAACGAAGACCCAACGCAGCCAAAGATAAATAAATTTATTAAAAAGAAAAAAAAATACCAAGGGCACGGTTGGGAATAGACTCCTGGAGCAGAGATGGTGGTTATTAGTAGAAGTCAGGGAGGATGACGGTTGAGGCGCGTAAGTGGATGGGTCGACTTCATTCCCTGAGGTGATGATACGTGGACAAGACTGCATCAGGAGCTGGGTTTCTTAATGAATATTGGAGAATGAACAGGAGACCGGTAGATGATAGACGGTGAGAAAGGGTAGAAGGTATCATGGGTGACCCTTTGAGGTCATCCTCAAAGAAGGGGTGGATTTTGCATGACTTTGGAAATGAAGCCATTGGAGAAAATGATAGGGAGTTCTCGCAGGTCACCCTGGCTCTCAGTACCCTGTGGGAGCAGGGAAGCTACAGGGAGAACTCGAACAACTAGATTTCAGATACTTTTATATAAGAATAAAAGTTCAGCAGCAATGCATTCCTTCAGCAGGTGGCCTTAATATAGGCCAGGCACTATTCTCGGCACTTGGGATACAGAAGTAAACAAATTGGGCAAGACTTGCTGCAGTCTTGGAGCTTACATTTATTTTTAGATACTATTTGGTAGAATGCAAAGGCCAAGTAGTCACATGAGGGTCTTGATAGTTTCAAAAAAAGTATTAATCCAAAATGGTTTCTGTTCACTTCAAAGTTTTTTCAAAAGCCAAAGTTCTTGGGGTGGAGGGGAAGGGGCAATTTGTTGTTGTTTTTAATGCCTTCAGATCTGTCTCTAAATCAGACCTTTTTAGGGAAATCTTATAAACTCTGCCTTCAAAATATTTTAGTCATGTTTTTAAGGGTTTTGGATATGTAGATAGCAGTAGAACCTTACTGAGGCTGCAGCCCCTCATTTGATTATGTATCTCCTCTAATTACCTGAAATAATAGTAACTCTGCCTGCTCAGACCCTGGGGTTTTGTGGTTCTAAGTCTGAACAATAGAGCACTGAAGTACCAAGAAAAAAAAGCAACATTTATCAGGTTGTTAGAAATTGGAGTTGATGGAAAACATTTAAATCAAAAAGTCCCTGGAGGATGAAGAGCAGACACACTTGGGGAAGCTAATGTGATGGAGGCAAACAATGTTCCATGTCTGCTGAGTAAGAATGACTTTCAGAAATTTTTCCAGCTGAAAGCTAGCTTTCCTCATCTCTGTTAAAATGCCCAGAAATTTCCTCATCTACGTTTCATTGCCCAGAAAGCAAGACAGGGAAAAGTTGGTGGAATATTATTAAATATATTTAAACACGTGACAGTGTGTTACTTAGCTTCCAATTACTAACAGTCTTCTGCCAGCTCATTCATCTGCTCATTACTTACCTTGACCAAAGGCCCAGGAGAATATATACTGAAATAATGAAGCTTTCATTAGCATTTATTGCTTTTCCTTAAAGCCTTCATTTTAATACTATGAAATCAGATTTTAGAGAATGTCATAATTAAGATTTTCATAAAGAGAAATATCTAGTACTATTTAAATATGTAATGACTCCCAGGGCTATCTGAATTCATTCACATCATAAACCTACTCAAATGGGCTTTAATTTCTACTACAACTGTGCTCTCTTTACTTAGCCTTAATGTACAACACCTTCAAGGCCAGTTTATGAACCACACACACACAGAATTATCAGTGCTTTATTATAATCACACCTTATTAACAAGAAATGTTAATCTGGTTATATTCACCAGACTGGGCTCTGAGTAACTGGCAGCTCTTTTCAAAAATCAACTTTTCCTGGTAAGATGAATATTTGCCAACCTTAGGGTGTTTTAAAGAATGTGCCAGAAATTCCAAGAGCTACTCTAAAAGAGGAGTTCCAGAAGTGTTTTAAGCATGGAAGCATTTTTGGAAGAACTGTATAGTCTTCAAAGGTGACAACTTTGAAGGCAGAAGTGCTTAAATGGGTAGGTTTTGATATATTTACTTGTACGATTGGTCAGATTCCTTTGTAGTCACCAGTCACATTGAGTTTGACTGGATTAGCTTATTTGGCAAATCAGGTATGAAATTTATGTTTTGATAGAAAAATAGTTCCATCATGAGGGAAAATGACTTGGCAAACCTCTGTGGCTTATGTGCCTCTCTTCTCGGGAATCGTCCCAGGGTGCTCTTCTGAAGTCCTTTGGATTGGTTTTGAGCTCCCATTCAGATAAGAGGAAAAAAAGAAGTCATGGTTATTGAGTTTAAACTATGTCAGAATTTGCCTAAATAGTAATCACTATAACAACTCTGTAAGGTATGTCTTCTCTCTATATTTTAGTGATGAAGAAACTGGATTTCAGAGAGATTGAGCTGGTTGCCAAGGTGACAGCTAACGTAGGTGGTTGGGAGCTTAGATGTTATTTTCCTTTTATTTTTTTATGTTTCAGCATTTTCACTAATCATAACATTTGAGTGCGCTTTTTTTTTTTTTTTTGAAAGCTTAGAGTTTAATTCACATCTGACTCCAAAGGCTCTATCAACTCCTCGCGCACACACCCCCAGCCTTCCTAGTCAGCCAGATCCTACTCAGTGCCACAAATTTGTAAATGTTCTCAGAACTCTGGAGGCCTCTGATTTCCCCCCAGAGGGCATTCTTCATCGTCACCTTCTAGATATCTTTCTCAGAAAAGTCTATGAGGACTCCCTGCACTGGGCAGAGAGCCTGAGTAAAATATTAATACAAGAGGGAAAGATTAGGACCCCCAGTAAAGTGTTGATTCCTGAGGAATAGGGGGTCCCCATCAGGCATGTGCCTTTCTAAACCCCCACCCCCACCCCCCAGACCTGGGTCAGGCAGTATAATGCTGTGGTGGGTAGATAATGCCTGTCACCTCCCCGCCTTCCCCAAATGTCTATACCCTAATCCCTGGAAACGCAGTGTTACCTGGCAGGGGAGAATTAAGGTTGCAGATGATATTAGGCTGCTGACCAACTGAACTTAAGGAGAGGGTCCTTTAAATGTGGACTAGGGAGGCAGAGTGATGCCCTGTGAGAAAGACCGGTCCTTGCTGGCCTTGAAGAGGAAGGGGCCACAAGCCAAGGAATGTGGGCAGCCTCTAGAAGCTGGAAAAGGCAAAAAACCAGATTCTCTCCTAGAGCCTCTAGAAAAGAACACAGCCCTGCAAACACTTTGAGATGCATTTCAAGGCTTCTGACCTGCAGAACTATAAGATAATAAAATCTGTGTTGTCTTTAGCCACTAAGTTTGTGGTAATTTGTTACAGCAGCAATAGGAAACTAATAAAGGCCAACCTTGCTTCCTCTGGGAAAGCTGCCTTGCTTACCCTCAGCACCAGAGCTCGTGGGTGGGAAGTAGCCAACGTTGACCCAAGTGTCAGCAAACACTCAAGCCATGATACAGAGGTCCTGGCACTGGTAAAGAGGTGAGCCAGAAGAGAGTTGTGGAAGGAGGTCCAACTCTTTGGTCCCAAGTCTGACTGGGAACCACGGATTGAGGTCCAGCCTCCAGTCTGCTACTTAAGCTGTGTGGCCTTTACAGGCCATTTCACCTTGTTGAAACGTGGAGCCTCACAGTAAAGCATGGATGATTATACCTGTCCTGCCAGCAGGCTGTTGTGAAGACAAAAAGTATGGTATAGGAGAGCATGCTTATTACCACTGCACACATTTTCAGTTCTAGGTGTGAATCCTGTAGAGTTAGTACCTCAGTTCTGTAGAAGTGTGATATACTATTATCATTTTTAATAAACACACATGTGACTTTCAACATTTTCTTCTAAATCTGCAATTAACAAGAAAATCTAAACAGAACAACTGATTCACTCAAAGATTGATGTTTCACAGTATTTTATGTAATCAGCATGTTAGAGCTAAAGGGGACCTTAAGGATCACCTCATCCATCTTCCAGACAAAGGAGCAGATTCAAGTTGTAGAAAGGTAAGAAGATCAAACCTTTAGAAATAAAATTCCCTAATGAGTCCATGGCAGCAAAACAAAACAGCAGCTCAGTTTTTATGAATCCCCTCTAAGACATTAAGACATGGACAGCCACTTAAAGTAGAAATTCAGCCCAGACCAAGCCAAGCCCTTCCCTTGTCCAGCCTCCAAGGATGAAAACTTAGGTGCATAAAGGGCCCTAGCTCTTTCAGCCTTGGTTGTCATTACCCTGCTTTGCCCACACCCCCTCCTCCCTGACAAATTTCAACCTAAAGAAGTGATTGATCACTTTACATCATGGCAGGAGTTCAGGAGTCAGGTTTAGGGCATTCTGCATCCCAATTCCAGCCATCCACCTCACCACTGCGTGCATTGCCCTCAAAGGCAGTGCTGGCTGGTGCTATTAGCAAGCCTAGTCACATAAATCAGGGAAGCTCTGCCAATATATGCAAGGCATGTCACCATCACCCACTAGCAATGACAACTCTAATTGTGAGCAGACTGTGCCACAGCCAGAGAGGCTGATGCAATCCCCGGAACCCACCTCTGCACTTTCAGATCCCAGCTCTTAGCTGACAGGATGCCAGCTTAGCCAGTTGGTCCTGATAGCCCTTGTGCTTTGCCAGGTGAGCCAGCAGAAGCCCTCAAGGCCAAAGAGGCAGAATATCTGATGAGGCTGGAGTCAGGTGAGCCATCATAGCCACTAAGAGTGGACGAGCCACTCAGGCTCATTTTTCTCCTCTGTCAAATGATGGAGTTGGACTGGACAAGGGCTGCATTTCCTTCTAGGCTTCTCTGGAATTGAAGATTATCTCGGTTCTTGTGTTGGAAGTTTTGTTTATCTTAAATAAGGAAGCTGAATGCTGGTAGTAAGGATTTTCCATTTGCAAGAGGTAAGTAACTTTATTTTTAATTATAAAGGTAATTTATGCTTGATATAGAAAAGTTATAGCAATGCAGAAGTGTAAAAAGTGTATAACTCCCACAACCAGTGGTAAGTCATCAGTCAGGCTAATTGCTTTCCCCATCCCCTGAACAGGCTACTGGTGCTCCCATTAGCCATCTATTTTGAAGGAGAGGTTAAGATTCTGAAAGTCAATCTTTGCTTATTTTAGTGGTTCTAACAGTTGGTGAAACTGAAGAGTGACATTTGTAGAAGTTTTTTTTTTTTTTCTTCCAAAAAGTCCAGATTCAAATCTTATAACCCAACTTATAAATCCACATGAAGAAGTTAAATTTCAATACTTAAAAGAAAAATCATACTATTATTAGAGTAATACAAAAATTGCAAGAGACAAAAGAATAAAATACATTAAAATGTTAATAGCAGTCTAAGGTGACAGGACTTTGGGGGATTTTTTTCAGCTTTTCTTCGTAGAGTGGGGCATTGCATTTTTATTAATTGTGTAGTAAAGAAAATAATTTTAAGAAAAGTGTTCCTGATAATGACATACTAGGTGATTGGATTCAAACCAAACAGCCCAATAACTGACACTTATTAAATCTTTATTGACTAAACAGCTTTTTAAAATTTACTGCTGCTTCCTTTTAGGCTATTTTTTTGTTAGGAATTCTACTTAGAGGATTAAAGATAAATGAATAATTATATTAATAATTTGAGAAGACTTGTGAAAATCTTAAAGACATTGAGTTCAATGCCTCAAATACTTATTGAGCAGCTGTTACAGGCAAGTCACTGTGGGAGCAGAAGGATGAGTGAACTCCATCCTTACTCCCAAGGGCTCAGGCAAGGGAGGTAAGACAGGAACCCACAGAGCCACACGCCAGATGGCCTTTATAAGGGTTTTGAGATACAAAATGCTGAGAGTCCAGAGAAGTAAAGAATCATCTCTGAATGATGAGGAATCCAGGAAAGCTTCATGTAGGCAGTCGAATTTGAGCTAGGTCTTAGAAAATGGGCGGGATTTTTCATACTTAGAAATTGAAGGGGCTTTTTTAAGTGGAGGAAAGGCGAACAGGCACAGAGGTGCCAAGACCAGGGCATGTCAGAAGAACGAGGAGTCCAGTTTGGCCAAAGCATACAGCATGTGTAAGGGAAGGGACAGATAAGACTGGTACAGGGGTAGAGGAGACTTGAACGTCAAGCCACAAAGCTAGAGCTTGTAGATGATGGGTGATCTTGGGGGTCCTTTGAGCAGGAAATGTGATACAGTCAATGTCAGCTTAGGACAGTTCCTTTGGCCAAGTAGGGGACAGTGTGGGAAGACAAGGATGGGAAGATGAATCCCAGATGAATGATAAATGGGGCCTGAGCTGAGCAGGTGGCATCAGAAGGAAGACAGCTGTGATACTTTGTAGAAATAGACTCAATAGATCAGGGGCCTAGGATTCAGTGAGACTGGTGCTCAAATCCCACTCTGCCGCTTCATTACTTAGTTCCCCTGAGCCTGTCTCTTCTCCTCTACAAAATGGGTGTAAGAGTAATTATATCATGGGGTTGCTGCATAGTAGGCAGAGGCAGTTATTCTTGTGAAGCATTGTAGCACAGCTCTGGCATGGTGAGTGCTCAGTACATGTTAATGTCACTGATGGTGCTACCTGGAGTTGGAGTTAGGAAGGAAACAGGTGTCAGCTCCGGTGACTGAGTAACAAGGCCGACAGTACAGCAGCTGGGAGCATGGCATCTGCAGGTAGAGACCGTATTTGGAACCCGACTCAACTACTTACCAGCTTTAATCTCATACAAGCCACTTAACCCCTCTCTGTTTCCTTAGCTGTAAAATGGGCATAGTATTAATACCCGCCCCCCAAGGAGCTGCTGTGGAAATAAAGTGAGATAATACATGTAAATGTACCTGATACATTTTAAGAGCCCAGTAGTTATTAGTTATTGGGTCAGGGGGGTGGAGATGCAGAGTTGAATAGAATTACCCCTACCATCTCCTGTGGCAAGATATGCAAGTAGAGGTGGAGACATGCTGCAGGGGACTGGCCATGAAGGACAGACCCGGAAGAACACTAAAGGCTGGAGGTAGTCAGGAGTCGCTGGCACAGAGGTGATTATTGTACCTCTACGGGTACATGAACCAAGATTGGGTACATAAATTGGCCTAAGGAAACAATCAGATAAATCCAGAATACAGGACGTCTATAAGACATACATAAGATGGCCGGGACTTTTTAAAAAGTAAATGTCATGAAAAAAAATAGTAAGGGGGCTGTTCTAGACTAAAAGAGACTAGGGTTATAATCAAAAGTAATGTGTGAATCTTAACTGGGCCCTGTTTTTTAGAAAAGAGAAAAAGACACTCTTGGGACAGTTAGGGAATTTCAATTAAGGAATCTGTCTTAGAGGCTATTGGGATAAACATGCTGAAATACTTTAGGGATGAAATGCCATGCATGTTTGGGGTGGAGGGAAGAAAAATAAATATGGCAAAAATGTTAACAACTGTTTAGGTGGAGGGTATATGTGGGTATTCATTGTACTAGCTTTTCAACTTTTTCTGGATGCTTGAACATTTTCAAATTCTCAGAAAAAATAGGAAAAGAGACCTGAAGAAAAACTGTTTGGAAATCAGTCTACATCAGGAAAAGGAATTCTCTGGAGGAAAAGCAAGTTCCATCTACCAAAGGAAAAATTTCAAGAAGGGAGAGATTAAGCAAAATGAAGGCTGAAAATAAATCATCATATTCAGCCATTGTGAGACTGTAGCGGCTTCTTAAGAGTCCAGTGTAGCCTGAAAAGCTGACCACGAGTGAAGGAGTAAGGAGTGGGGAGGAAATATAAGCAGCAAGGACTGCTCGACAGTCCTTGCTTAGGGGGTGCTCAGTTGGGAGCATCCAGGCTGGGGGAGTCTTTCTTTTCAGTCCAAGGAAGACTGGGGCATTGCTAAAGAGGAAGACTCTGAAGAAAGGGAGGGAATGAGACAGAGGAAAAGAGGTAACGTTGTGGAGGAAGGGCCCAGGAAAGGTGGAAGAGGAATGGATGAAAACATGAGAGGAGGAGGTGGCCTCAGATGGGAGGGGGCCTTCCCCTTGGCCCAGGAGTGAGGACTGTGAAGATGTGGGGGCAGAAGCTCCCTTCCTAATAACGAGGGATGGGGTCATGTCTTGCTACTAGGCGGCAGGTGTGAGGCAGTTAAGTGGGGAAACAGCACAGCTGCCACTGGCTCTGAAACAGGAAAAATGAGGGCGGAGGTAAGATAGGGTGATTGGTACTGCCGGGCAAGATGGGGAGGGGAGCAAAAAGAGGGCTTCTCCAGGACTGCCTTCCTAAGGCACTAGAAATGACAGGGTAATGAGCAGTCTTGGAAACTCCCGTTCAGAAATTGGCGCTGGGCAAAGACTACTCATCAATGATTTACTCATTAGGAAATGAGGAAAACTTTTTTTGGGTAAAAATGCTTTATCATTTCCATGCACCCTCTACCCTGGGTTGCCCTGGCTGGTGTACAGCCACCTGGTGTGATAGTCTTTGGTGTGTAAGGAAGCTCCTGTCCTTTCAAAGTCACCAGGCACAATATGGCCATGGCTCCAGGTGATCTAGGTTCACAGGGCTGTTGGAGCTCTCATTCCAAAGGCAGTCAGAGGAAAACCACCCCCTGCGCGGATGCCACTAAACGCCACCAGCATTGGAGGCCGCTGGAGCTTGCGCTCCCAGGCACCCCGGAGGACCACGGAGTGATTTTTGGTTCTGCCTGGCCTCCGAAGTGCTTCTCAAGACCCCACATTTGGCGATTTCGATTCGGCAGAGCGGCAACGGACCTGAGATCTCGCTCCTAGGTGAGGCTGAAGACGCCGGTCCGCGGGCCACACTTTTTGAGTAGGGCTGGCCGGGGGTGGGTGGGTGGGAGCGGCTAAAACCTACAGGAAGACCTTCGTGATGACGTAGCCGTCCCTGGGGTCTCCCTCGGGTTCCTCTTTGAGCGGAGCGTGCAGCAGGGCCGAGCCCAAGGCCAAGGCGCCCTCCCGGCGGCTCACTTCCCGCAGCCGCGCCTGCAGCGCCTCCCTCTCGGCCTGCAGCTCCCGGCGCGCCTGGGCCGCCGCGCGCTCCTCCTCCTGCAGCGCCCGCCGCCTGCGCTCCAGGGCGCGCTCGCCCTGCTCCACGGCCGCCTCGCGCCGCGCCAGCTCGCGCTCCCGCAGGCTGCCGCGCACTGCCAACGCGCCCATCTGCTCCAGCAGGCGCGCCCAGTCGCCCTCGGCGGCCGCGGCGGGGCCGGGGGCAGCGGGCGGCGAGCGGCGGGCGGTGCTCTCCGCCAGCTCCCGCCGGTGCGCGCTCCTCAAGTGCTTCCACAGCGCAGCGGTGCCCGCGTGCCAGCCCGGGCCGCGGCCCACCTGCTCCCCGCACAGCCGGCAGGTGGCCCAGGGGCCCGACGCGTGGCCGGGGCGCGCCGGCGCCAGGTGGAAGTACCCCCAGGCCTCGGAGTACGGCGCCCCCAGGCGGCCTGCAGCCGCGTCCGGCCCGCCCGTCTCTTCCATAGTCACGGCCGGCTCGTCGCTCCTCATTCTCTAGGCAGCGCCTGCACCGAGGGACACAGGGTAAGACGACCACAAAATTACATGTGCACACGGACACACGCTCCAACACACAACTTCTAGGACGAGAGTTAGCCTGTCAAGAAACCATGCCTCCCTCTCACTACTGATAAAAATCCTGCGGTTAGTTTGGGTAGATGCTTGCGTTTCTTTTTCAGTAGGTATTAACCGTTGATTCTTCGTGGGGGGGAAAGGTAGAAAATGCCTAGCCCTTCTTTCCTTAACCAGGAATTTTCTTCGAAATTTATTGGATTCCCTGGCTCACAAGTACTAAGACTAAAATTGGGAAGCCAAGCTTCTCATAAGAATAAGCTAAATAAGTGCTGTATGTATATGTTAGTTTTAACTAGTCTCCTTTACGCTCTTTAAAAAAAAACGAGCAAGGCTCCCTTTTGAATTCTTCTCGCAGTGTTGCACAAGAAAGGAGTGGGGGGAAAAAGTTTCAGGAATGAAAATTTTGTTTCTTGGACTTTAAGGGTGACAGTGCTAGGACTGAGCAGCTTTTCAAAAAGCTTTCAAGGAGACAACTTTTTTCAAGGTAAAAATATCTTTGTTTTTGTGATTTTAAAAACGATGTGCTTATGAGAAACAAGAACTGCTAAGAATCATTAAAATGTTTAAAAAATACGCACATTTAGAAAACAGCAATATACAAAGCAGTTTTCTAAACTTTTACCTTCAAATCAGGCGGTGGGCTGTCTCTATCATTGCCTCAGGGTTTCTAGCCAGCCCAGGTTCTCAGGTGGAAACACTGCAGTGTGGCTTCTGAGTTCTCAAGAACCATCAGCAGTGCTAGGAGTAAATTCAGAGGACAGGCGGTGGAGTAAAAGAAATTCAATTAAACAGCCCTGAAAGTAGATACTAGAAATCCTGGATGGTGCCATGTCCCTCTGGTGTTCATTCTGCCGACCCTCTCATAGGTGCTCCAGTCATAAAAAAAATAAAATTAGTTTTCTATATTGCTTATCCCAACTAAATGGCCCGCAGTCTATATTTGCAAGACAAAAAGCTTGGTGGATTCTCTTAATTAAGGAAGAAAAATAGAAGTAATAGCTGTTTGCTTTGTCCAACAAATACCTGTAGTTAAAGGGATCCAAATACAACACAGTGCCTATCACTGCCAGGTCTTTTCTATTAAGAAAACATTTCCCACTGTTATAACCTATCAAATGAGGGGGGAGATAGAAAAGGTGAATTTTCTTCTTTAAAAAATAACTTCACTGGGCTTCCCTGGTGGCGCAGTGGTTGAGAGTCCGCCTGCCGATGCAGGGGACGCGGGTTCATGCCCTGGTCCGGGAAGATCCCACATGCCGCGGAGCGGCTGGGCCCGTGAGCCATGGCCGCTGAGCCTGCGCGTCCGGAGCCTGTGCTCTGCAACGGGAGAGGCCACAACAGTGTGAGGCCCGCGTACCGCAAAAAAAACAAAACAAAACAAAACTTCACAAAGGGTCAAATGTGTGATTCTAGACAAATTTGCTTTGAAAGTTTAAAAATAATAATAGAATATATGACAGACTTGGAGCTCTCCTGAGAACTTATTTCATCGGGAAAATTCAGGCCGAGGTGGGAGAATAATGGACAATGAGATAGCCAGTGCCCGCTCCTACTGTCAGGTTTTGAACCAGCAGCAGTGGAGATGATGAAGTTCCAGAATCTCTTTTATTAAAGGCAACTAGGGATGACTGAAGACAAAGATGAAAACAGGAAAAATATGTTGCTTTAATAATAGTATTTAGTGAACCTTTTAATTCAGTTGCTAATAGTCTTGTTACAGATGCGTTACACTTTTCTAAACCTCATTTGTTTTTTTCCCACCAAGCAAGTCCACTGAGATCAGGCAGGACATTTAACATATCTCTTGAATTAAAAAAAAAAAAAAAGAATGAATTTACCAGAATCATCCAAAAAAATAATAAGTACCAGGCCTCTTCTAACAAAAGAAATAGCTATTTACGTATCTTCTGATATGAGGCATTGGTTTGAATATGGTTACCCATGATAATTAGTATAAAAGGTCATTAGAAATTAAAGGCTAGATTTCCCCCAAGAGATTTACTAAATCAATAAAGTCCCCAAAGCCAGAGTGGTGGGATGAGGAGGGAAGTTACAGACCCCCTTCAAGGATAACTTTTTTGCGGTTAGTAAACATTGTGTTTAGTAAACAGAACCAGATTTTAGTCTTAGAGATGTTTTTTGTTATCCAGCTTTACTTAAAATTTTTTTCTACATTTTTTTTCTTTTATTTAGAATTCCATTCCTTCTAAATTAGAATCTTACCTTTCCAGAGTGTGCCCTTTTTTTAAATTACTAGACATACACAAAAGTGGAGAGAATAGTAGTATTATGAGTGCCTATATTTACTTTATAAATTAAAAGAGATTTAATTTCTTCAAAATCTGGGATGCCCAGAGGAGTGCCACATACAGGAATGGCATCTGTTCTAAGACTTAAGGTGGAAAACAGGGATGAGAAGCACTGATCACTGATTTTGATGTCTTAATCCTTTAGACTTAGTGGAGCCCTCATCTGAGCCAGGGACAAGCAGCACCACAAGTGTTGGCCAGCAGAGTGCTGCCCCTCTGAGGGCGGCAGAGGGACCTCCTATGCCCTGGCAAGCCTTCACTCTCGGAGGTCTTAACCGGTGGAAGACAGCATGGTTCAGAACTGCCTCACCTTCTCAGCCCTCCGACCACAGCTACATTCTGGCTCAAAAGAGTCTTCTGTTCAGACTCAGTCTCTAAAGAGTGACCAGCAGTAACTGTGGCCACAAGTCGTTCCTAGCAGAGCCTTCCTAGGTCTGCTAAGCAATCCCTGAGCTCATTTCAACCATCCCTACAGTGCAGAGGGAGAGAAGCTTGGCTTGGAAGTCAGCTTGGCTTGGGAGAGAAGTCTTAGAATCTTTAGCCACGACCCTAATATACAAAGAGTTCTTACAAACTGAGAAGAAAAAGACAAGCAAGCCAATTGAAAAATGGGCAAGAAATATGAGTAGGCAAATGACCCAAGAGCAAAATCAGATGGCCAGGAAATTTGTGAAAAGATGCACACCACTTATATTCAGGGAAGTGCTATTAAAGTAACAATAAGGTCTCATGTTAGATCCATCACACTAACAAAAATGAAGAGGTCTGTCAGCCAAAGTTGGAAGGGGGGGCAGAGAAAAGGGTATGCTCATGCATTCCTAGTGGAGATGTGAAGGCTTTTAGGAAAAGCAATCTGCAATTTCTGTTAATTAAAAATAGATATAATTGGGGATCCAACTCCTGGGAATCTGTTCTGTAGAAGTAAAAGTACCAATATGTAAAGTAACATGTATTAGGATGTTTATCATAGTATTATTTAGAATGGCAAAAAACTGGAATCAAGAGAATGGCTACCAGCAGGAAAATGGCTGGGTAAATAATGTGTAGTCACCTCAGGGAATATTATGCTGCCATTAAAAAGGATGGATTGGAGCTCTGTCAGGGGGATGTCTGGAGGAACTGTTTAGGGAGAAAAGCAAGATGCATAAAGGTGTGTATAATATGATCTCACTCTTATTAAATAATTAGATCTGTATAGGATATACAGATTAATGATTTTTTATAAATATGAAGAAAAATGAGATACACTATGGGTTGAGGGGGTTGCAGCTGATGTGAAAGGAGAAGGGGAAGAGGTAAAGACAAAAGGAAAAGAAAAAGTGTGCTGAGAAAGCATGTACGTGATCATGTGTATACATTTAGGTAGAGTATATATATGGCAGGGTCTATACATAAATAAAAAGTAATTTTATAAAACAATCCTCAAGCATGTGAGCTCAGGCAGGCCTAGGCAGCCTTAACTCTGGAGACTGGAGGGAACAGTCCCATGGGGCATAGTGCACTGCCATCTGGCCCTGGAGGGATCCCAATGTGTGAGCTTGCTCAGTGTGGGTGGTTCGCTGTGCCCTGCCTGAGCAGAAGGAGATTCTATATCGACGTAAGATGGAGGGTGCCATGGGAGGGCAGCACACCTCACTCATCTCCCCGGCATAGGGCCTGCATAGGGCAGGCACTCAGGGGACACTGCATTAAATGAAATGAGCCCAACTTTACCTTTCTTAGCCCCAGCTCACCGGAGTCTCTATCTCCCCATCTGTCAGGAGAAATGATAAGATTAGCTGCCCCTAATAGGTGGCTGAAATCAGATAATGCACGAGATGTCACTGTTGGACTCGCCAGTGCTATATCAATTCAAAGCATGAACAAAAGGAAGCTCCCAGTAGTTACTATTCAAACATGCCTACACGAAGTTCTTAGTGGCTAAAAGGGAGTGCTGTTTTTCTCTTTAACATATTCTGTTATTCAATAGAGGAAGTAGTTTAAGTGGGAAGAATTCTCTTGGGGATTTTTAAATACAAAAATCAAATTAAAAAGAATCATAGCTCCACTTCCCCACCCCCAACCAAATTTATTTTCACTTCCTCAGTTGATCTTCCTGCACAATAGGTGGCTCATCACTCAGGTAGAAGATGATAGGGAGGCCTAGTTAGCTGGGGTCCTGTGATACGCATTTCTTCCTTACCAAGTACTGCCCCCAAACCGAACACCTATTAACTTGTATGGTTAGCTAACAAGAAGAAAACGAAAAGTAAAAGCTCTCTTAATTTTCCTTAAACAATTGAAAAACTACCAGAAAGTTGCCAATGAATGATTATGTCGTTTACGTCCCTTCACTTCATCCACTCTTTCATTCAAACTCTCCTTGTGTACCTGATCAGGGCCAGGCACGTGCTTGCTGCCCAGGATGCCAAGAGGAGCACCACATAGTCCCTGCCCTCTGGAAGCCTACCATCTGGTGGGGAGAGATGCTTCAAGATGCTGACACCCATGGTAAAGATCAGAGCAGTGTTCACTCATGAAGAGTGGGGAAGCGTGGGCTTGGGGACCCTAACACAAAGGTTCATGCAGATACACGTGCTTAAGCATTCTTTCCCTTCCCCACCTTGCTCAGGGTACAACATTCACTAAAACGCGTCACCATTAGTGCTGACTCTAATAAATAAAGTACCAGTTCTTTAGTTGTATAATTAGGCTTCCAAGCTTATATTTTAAATAAAATTTTTTGAGGCTAAATAAATGCACTGCTAGCATGAAATTAATTTAACAGTGGAAATTTTTGAGTCCAATTTCAGGGGGAAAAAAGCTGAAAAAAAAAGTAGATTTTAGTTATTTCTTGGAAAGGGAGAGAGTAGTATTAATGGTATGATGCCTCTGAATTCTATGATGAGTTTCATTCCAGTATCCATTATCTGGAAGGGATGATACGAAGTCTAAGCTGCTGGAAGATAAGACATTCATATTAATTACCTCTGCACTTGATGTTCTCTGAAGAAGTTTTATTCTTCTAATAACTTATCAGATTAAAACCCATATTCCTCAATGTGATCTCCCTGAATACCAATATAGAGAATAAAGGAAGAGATCAGAACCTGGATGAATACTTTGTGTAAATATGGGTGTATACATACAATGTATGATTATAACATTGAGAATCATCCTATAAACCACCCACAAAAGTTAGTTTTATTATTTTACACTTGTGCTTGTGCACATACAAAATATCAGGCAGGCTAAATGTCAAAGAACCAGGCAGTGTTCTCAGAAAATCACAGAAAGCTCTATTTGTCCTTCCATGGTCAAGTCTAATCGCTTTAGTTGGATTAATCTAGCAGAGTTACAAACAAATATGTGTAGATTGAGCCTGGCTGGATCTTAGGTGAGAAATTCACCCTAATGTCAAATCCACACAGACTTATGTGAAAACACTAAAAACATTTTTATCCACCAGTAACTTTAATCAAAGCAGAATATAATAATTAAAACAAATAATTAGCCTTGACAACTGAGGTATCAAGGAAACTACAGTTCATCTGTTACCTGTCCATCTCTGTTGAAATATTAATTTACTGCCATATATTAATCTATTTATAAACAAATCTAGACAGTTAGAAAAATTAGTCTATAGTCACCAGGCTGAAGGCTTAGTTGAAGTAAAAATGCTTCCAAACTGTAAAGGATGGATACCTCAGGGAATAAAGGGTTAAGTGTGAAAAAACTTGGAAAAATGTTACACATGGGCTGTAAAAAATGTACTGGACCCACAGCTAATGAACTGGTAAATCAGAGATGTTCTCTAAATGTCATAAGCCAAAATTTTAGATACTTCTTCCATTAGCTAAAAGGCTGAGAAACGCTCTCTATTAATGTATTTTTTTTAATGAAAATTGTGAAGCTTCCTCCCTAAGTGGACCTTTATTTCAGGCCTACATTATTTTATTTAATACATGTGTTCCTAAAAAGAAGGGTGTTGATCCATTTTCATCGTGTAAGATGCATTATTTAATGTGAATTAGTGGGATTTAAAGCTGCCCTACTTTGAAGAGCTCTGTAACAAAGATTTTTTAATTAAGAATTACGCGGTATTGGCTCTTGGTCTTTGCATACATTGTTGTATACTTTTCATTGTCAGCTGCCTCAAGCTATTTTTGGCTTAAAAATGTGTATAAATAATTACATTAATGAAAAGTACGGAAAATGATTACCCTAATTATGTCAATTTATTAAGCTATTTCGACAACAGTTTCTCGTAAACACCGCATCTTTGTAGTCTTAGCTAATTAGAAGTTTGGATGGTAGCAGGTACTTTTTTTTTTTTTTCCTTTCAAGGAGGGAAAACTAACTTTGCTTGGTAAACTTCGGGCATTAAGTTAGTGTAAGTGATTATAGCAAACTGCTCCTGTATGTTCCTGAAGGATCAGAAAATTCCTTTGTTTGAGCACGGTGGGGATCGGGGTCTTTGTTTGAGCATCTGGCTTGCATTCGGTTTCTCCCCAAAGTGGGAAACATTCAGAAAGTCTCAATTAGAGAAAGGGCCGCCAACCACTTGCCCTGTTAAAGGACTGACTGCAATAAGGCAACTTTAATAAAGGGAGAGCACATGACTTTCGATATTCCTGAATAACTTTTTTGAAGGGAGACTGTAGAGCAGGAGCAAAAATGAGGTGCATAAAGAAACTGAACCGGGCGTTACGCAGAATCCCGGGTCCAAACGCATCTTTTACAATAACGGTAATCCCACCACCGCGGAGGGCACGCCCGGCACCCCATGCACTAGCAAGCCTGCGCGCCTGCGTCTGCGGGGCGCTGGCGCTCTGCGATCCCCCGCCAGGCCCCCGGCTGGTCCCAGCTCACTCCGCCGCCCCCAGGCAGCTTCCCGCGATCCCTCACCTGTCCCCCGGGACTCCCCAGTCTCCCGTGGGCACGCGCCGCCGTGAGTCTCGCAGCCCACACTCACCCCATCACCCCCGAAGCGGGAGTTGGGCTGGGTGTCTGGGATCGCCGATCCCCTCCAGGATCCTCGCAGACATTTTGTCCTGTGCGGAAACCTCAGCGCCGCGTCCCCCTTAAAGACACAGCGCTCCATTCATGCGCCTGGAGTGGAAAGGGGGGATGGAAACGTGTGACCCGGTGTTGAAAGGGCTGGGGAGTCACTCCCGAACCGTCCAGGTCCATAAGCAACAGACTTGTGTTTGCCCAGGTTTAAAAAAAAAAAATGATGCAGTAGTTTAGTGATTTTTAAAAATGGAATTACTGTTTTATATCTTTATAGTAACCTTCCAAGACCTGGATTCCTGGGCTTGAGTCTCTGAGTGTAATTTTCATCCTTTCAGGTTCAAGGTGTGCGATGGCACAAATCGTTAGAAGAAACCCCCTGAACCAAGGTCTGGACAGATAAAGGTAGGGCTCATTGGTGTTCACTAAAACTTAATAACACTAGCATGGTGTATCAGTCAGCTTTTGGTGGATTATGCTGAGGTAACAAACAACCCCTACAACTCAGTAATTTACAAAAACAAAGATTCATTTCTCAAGCAAATTACATCTGCTGCAGGCAGCTTTGGCTCTACTCCACTGGTTTCCTGGCTTGCAGGCTCCAGGTTGAAAGACCAACTTTTTGGGGACACGCTCACTGTGTGCTGGACCCAACCTTGAGGGAGGAGAAATACTGATTTGTAGTGCTTGCTATTTCCATGATGTAAATACTCCCACCATGGCGGGTTTCAGGCTACAAACAGTTTAACAAGGGGCTTGCCAAGTTTCTGGAAACGTAATAATCAGCTCTTATAAACCACTGGCACATGCTGCTCTTAAAACTGAAAACAGCTCACATTCTGCATGCTTCAGTTCTGCTCACCTGAGTTTTGCTCACATTCTATTGACCAAAGCAAGTAACATGACAGGGCCTATCAGTGGGGCCAGAAAGTATATTCCTCTTATAAGGAAGCCTTGCCAGTCACATGACAATGGGTAGAGATTGTATAATCCTTTTAAATGAAATTGAGTAAATAACTGGTTAGAATAATACAATCTGCCTTACATACTTTGGTTTAAGTAATTTCTTTTTGAAAACCTCATTCTTTCTATAAACCAGAGTTTCACAGTCTATTAATGGGGTTTCTCCTTACCATTCCAAGAATGGTTTCAGAAGAAGAAACTGGTTGGATGTCTTCAAAGGGATAGTTTTGTAATGTGAAGGTTAACTATTAGGTTACTACTTTTCTCCCAAAAGATGTCCATACTTATAGCTGAGGACATCTGATTAAAAGTACGTAGTATAAATGGATCATATTAAAGCCATCTCTTATGGTTTAATTCAAAAACAAAATTTTAAAGTTTATTGTACCTGACAGTCCTTTTAACAAGAGGCTTTAACACTTTGAGTACCTTAAAAATCCATTTAGCCTTAAACTGACCATGTAATGAGACACATGGTATTTTTAAATTCTAGTTAGTGCTATTTGTACCCAAAGCACTATCCTATACCTGAGTCAGAGTCTTAATTCAAGACACCATTCCTGCCCTCAAGAAGATTACACTCCAGTGAAACAGTAAGACAAATGCAACTCCAGGAAGAAAGTGAAAAATGTAAGAGGAAACCTTCATGTGCCACACTAAATGGAGAACAGCTACATCTTCTTGAAAGTGGCAGCATTTAACTAAGACCTAAAAAAGGGTAGAATTTGGACTCCTGGAATTATGTTTATTATGCTCGCAAGATGTGTTTTGGATTTATTTTTAAAGTCCAGAGAAAAGGAGCCTGTCTTTTCTGTGTTTAAGTCAATGCTTAAACTTTCCTATAATCTGAAACCTTTCTTGTAGTTTTAAATTAAATTTTAAATCAAATTATAAAATATATCTAAAATATCTAATAACTCTTCTCCTTTGCCCCACACTCTTTGTTCAAATTTCAGCAAGAAAAACACTCTTTAATTCTTATTTTGGTGGTAGCAGTTCCCTTAACTTTCATCATGCTGTTAACAATAAATAAATAAGAGGATCTCATTTCTGTCTTCTGCCCTGGAAGTTGGCAAAGCATAAGGACTTACATTTCATTGATAATGCAGAATATTTACTCTCCAGATTCTTGCCAGAGATTATAGCCTTGAAATCTGCTCTCTAATCCTTATCAAAAACCCAGGTTTAGAAAATTACTTATGGAGCTTGCCCCAAAGACATGAAATTATAGAGCTGTGTATGTGGACCACACTCTTTTGGTACAATACATCCTTCCTATATGTGCTTTTGGTCTGTAGTTTTTTCTTGGATGTTTTTGTCTGGTTTTGGTGTCAGAATAATACAGCGTTATAAAATGAGAAATATTCCTTCCTCTTTTATTTTTTGGAAGATTTTGTGACTAATTTATATTAATTCTTCTTTAAATGTTTGTTGGGATTCAACAGAGAAGCCATCTGACCTGAGTTTTTCTTTATGGGTAGTGTTTTAGATTACTAATTTGATTTCTTCATTGGTTCTAGGTCTTTTAGATTTCAGTTCCTACTTGAGGCAGTTTTGGTAGTTTGCATCTTTCTAGGAATTTGTCCATTTCATCCAAGTTATCTAATATGTTGGTGTACAGTTGTGCATAGTATTCCTTTTTAATTTCTGTAAGGTTGGTAGTAATGTCTCCTCTTTCACTTCTGGTTCCTATATGTGCTTTTAATGAACTTTCCATTGGGGTCATGCCATCTGCCTTCAGTGAGGTAGTTTGTAGGACATAGCTACATAAAATTCATTATCATGATCAGTATCATAATGTCATCGACTACAGTTGTCCACTGTATCCCGCAGTGTTTCTTCTGTAGGACCCAGAGAGAAGACCATTCTCTGATCTCTCATGTCATGGAAAGCTCTGCATCCCATGAACAAATGGAACCTTTGAATCCTGTGGGCACTGTGGTTCATTTATTGGACTGTTTGCTTATTTCAGCTGCTAGGAGGCTGAGTCAAATATGGGATCCCTACACTATTAGTTTCCTAGGGCTGCTGTAACAGAGTACCACAAACTAAGTGGCTTAAAACAAGAGAAATTTATTCTCTTACAGTTCTGGAGGTTAGAAGTCTGAAATCATGGTTCCAGCTGGGCCATCTTCCTCTGAAACCTGTAGGGGAGATTCCTTCCTTGCCTTTCCCTACTTTCTAGTGGTGGCCAGTAATCCCTGGTTTACAGTTTCATCACTCCAATCTCTGCCTTTGTTGTGGCATTCTCCTTGTGTGTGTGTGTCCAATCTTCCCTCTTACAAGGACACCAGGATGGAGCTTGGATTAAGCTCTATCCTAATGACCTCAACTTAACTTGATTATATCTGCCAAAACCCTATTTCCAAATAAGGTCACATTCAGAGGCACCCTGGGTTAGGACTTTAACATATTTTTTTTTTGCAGGGGGGGACACAATTCAACTCGTAACACTCACCTACCAGTTCCATATGGTAAACTTTTCTATGTGCTAACCTTTTATTTTCCTACCTTTATTTTCCTTTTGTCCCAATTCCCTGAATTACTTAGTTTTTCCTTAATTATATGCATCGTTGGCAGTGTCTGAAGGAAAGAAGGCAGAAGGGAAGTGGGAAAGGTGGGAAGAAAAGGGAAAAGAGAGAAAGGGAAGGAGGAAGAAAAGTTTGCCCCCCAAAATCAGACAGAGTTGCAGGAATGGGGAGTGAGGGTGGGGAAGACTGGCCAGAAAAGTGTTTTTGCTGTATGGGCTTTGTCAGAGCCTCAGAATTATTCTTTTGGTGAGGATGAGAGTCATGATTAGCAGCTGCCTGCAGCTTAGCTCGCTTAGAGAAAAGTTAGAAGGTAGTTTGAGGAGCTGAGGATTAGGAAAAGAAGGGTATGATGTAGCTACTTTTAATGCTGAACTTAGTAGACACAACATGGATCCAGGTTTTGTGGTGCTTGAAAGCTTATACAGTGTTTTGTTGTTTTTTGTTTTTTTTGGTTGTGCCGGGTCTTTGTTGTGGCTCGCCAGCTCCTTATTTGTGGCATGTGAACTCTTAGTTGCAGCATGTGGGATCTAGTTCCCTGACCAGGGATTGAACCCGGGCCCCCTGCATTGGGAGTGCGGAGTCTTAACCACTGCACCACCAGGGAAGTCCCCAGAAAGCTTATATGGTGTTGAGGACCCATGTATTCTAGCTACCGGGGACATAGACCCATTAAATCATTTATTTGATGTATACAATTTACCCTGGACGACGGCATCCTATCCCTATAAGATACAAATGGCACCTTAGCTGAAACTTTAATAGGCTATTCTAGTGGTCTGTCAGGCTAGCTGCTTCTGGATGTGTATGTTTTACAGGGTCAGCCAAAGCTACTGAATAAACCATTTTCCCTTTCATCTGTTTGTCATCTTAATCCATCACAGGTGAGAATCCTAATCCTAACACCACAGCACACCAAGGGTTCTCATCGCTCCACCTACCACTAGAAATGAGATCCTTGTTACCATCTGATGGGTAAATAATCCAGTTCCAGAATCCCATCTTGAGGTTTGGAGGTTCACAGGTTTTAAGCTTCTGCTTTCTAGCACCACTCTGGTTTTTAGCTTGTGTTCCCTTCAATGCAATAACTAAGACAAAAACTATGACACAAGTAGCTTGAGAGGTAATCACAGGAGGTAGGATAGGGGAGCAGGGAGAGTAATGCACACCAAAATAAAGAGGCTTTATTTTTTTTTAACTCTAAATAATTGTGTGCCTTTCAGACAATGTCTTCATTTTATATTTATAGTCATGATTGTAACAAAAGTTATCCCCACATGATGAACTGTTTTCAATCCTCACCTTCAGGCTTTTTCAGACCCAACTTCTTCATTTTTGTAACTTTATCGTTTTCTGTCATTTCATGTGTTACTATAGACTGTTTATTTTGTTGGTTGGCTTTTGGCCTGGAGACGTAGGAAGTTTTTTAAACTCACCTTTGAAACTTGACATTTTCACTACGATTATATATAAGTGCAAGTCTCTTTTTGTTTGAAACATAGTGAGCTAAGCTTGGGGTTTATCCTGGAGGTAGTTTTAAGCAAGAGAGTTACACAGTAAGATTTCTATTTTAAGTATACCTCTTCGGGGAAGGCTATGGGGCGTGCAGGAAAAAAACAGACTAGAGACAGGTAGACCAATATTGCAATATTGTGGGCCAAAACCAAGATATTTTTAAGATTCAACCAATTCAATATGTAGCAGAAAATAATAAGCAAGAGAATGGGTGGATGACGGAATTGATACATGTAACTGCAGTGTGCTTTGTAGTTCCATGTCTCCCTGCTGTCTTTTCCTGGCCTTGGTGTGCTTGAGGTGCCTGAGTTGCTGGTCAGAGGGCAGCATCCCTGTGGTACCCACCTCTAGAGAGTAGTGCTCCCCCGGTGACCTCTTCCAGGTCACTGGGATGAGAGG